TGGGGGGGGGGGGGGTGTCACTGGTGTAACGCGAAATTTCTCTTACTATTGTAGAACTGCCCATGGGCAGACGATGCGCATCAATGACCCTGGCTCATAAATTTCGGAGCTCAACAGACAACACGTGTATTTATTGCTGGCGAGCGAACCTGAAGCAAGAGAGCAACTCAGAAGTTCTAATTCGGACGTACTGGGCTCTGAAACTAAGATTTTACTTTCGTTTCTCCGACCAGAATGCACTGCTGTTAACCGACCAGAATGCATTGCTGTTAACCGACCAGAATGCTTTGCATGCATGATGCTATGAAAACGGGGAATCTCATTAGTCAGTTTAAATAAGCCGGTAACGATGCAGTTGTTTTGGTGTATTTTGTATCAATTGTACGTATGGTATGGTCTGTTGATTTCTGGCTGGTCTTACACTATAGTCCATACAGTATGTACTGAATTTCCGTATTACAAACATTTTATAACACTTAGAAAACGTATTTCTGTATTTGTGTTCTTTGCATGCCTTATCTTCTTTAATTTGTCTTTTCTTCTCTCATTTAGCACTTAGCAGTAAAATTACTTTCACGGCTAAAAGTGCTCATTCGTGCTTCGTGATTCGTGATTTAAAGGGTATGGGCAACAAAAATAACGATTTACTAAAATCTTTGCTTTTTCTCTTACTTTTGCCATTTCTTTTGACAAATGTATTGTCCAGTATATGGATGTAATAGTAGCAACAAAGGTGATAAAAGACAAAATATTAGTTTTTTCAAATTTCCACCGAAGAAAGACAGTGAGAGACGAAAAGCGTGGGTGGAAAAATTTTTGCACCATCCAAACATTCAAGAATTTGTTCTGATCACTTTTCAGACAAAAACTTTTTGACTTCTTATTCCCCGACATATTTGGCATCTATTGGATTTACTGGCAAAGTGAATATCTGGCTAAAGCCGGATGCTGTACCATTTAAAAATGCACCGGGAGAAACTGCAGTTCCCGCCAAAAAAACAAGGCCTAAAGGACGGCTTTCTCAACTCAATTAAGGTAACAGAACACTATTTAATTTATATGTTTTAATATTTGTGGGTCAGTTAGCATAGTTGGGTGTGTTGTACGTGCATGTTGTTTTGCCAGCACGTGTTTCTTCGTTTTTAACTGTATCGGAAATGACTGTGTCATTATTATAAAGCTACATATAAAGTCAAAACACTATAACTCCAATCAGTGCCGTCGCGAGTAACTCGCTTCAGGGGGGTGTTTGGTTAAATCTATCTGAAAGTACCAAATTTTCGAATTTTACCTGAAAATTTTTTTTCCGGGAAAATATTTTCGGCGACCTCCCCCCTCCCCCCCAGTCGCCAAAAAAATTTCGGTCAGTGCACCATTTTAGGGGTAAAACATTTTTCCGGACATATCCAAATTTTTCGCGACATAAAAAATTTTTCCGATTCACAAATTTTCTCCGTTCATCAAAGAAATTTTTCTAAAATTCTGAAAAATTTCGAGGATTTTCTAAAATTTTTGTAAATATACATTATTTTTTTCCCAAATTGACAGTTATTTTTGTAAATTAACTTTCTCTGGTACGTTCTAGGAATTACCTGAATATGCGTTAATTTGCCTGAATTTCTTCTGCGAATCTAACTGAATTTACCTGAAATTGCTCATATGAGCAATCATCATGGGGGTGTTATACCCCCACACCCCCCGGTCGCTACGGCCCTGACTCCAATACAAGACAATAAACAGGTACATCGTTTTAAGTGATTCTCGAATTATTGCGACTGAAACAGGTTTAGCGCATCTCATATACATTGCTGTAAAAGCACCCTCCTCAGCGAAGTAACTTAGTAAGTGTCATAACATGTGTCCACACGTGGAAAAGTTAAAAGATGTCTATCTAACCCCTCCCTTGAATTTTCAGGTTCTCAGCGAAATAATGACTTCACAAGACAGTTATATTGGTTCTGAAAAACGACAATATGCCAGTGAGGTAATTGAAACAGAGATTCATGATGAGTGGGGTACTGCATGTGGTGGAAGAAATACCTGAAGATAACGAAATGCCTCTTAATTCAAAATCTTCACAGACCGAAAAGTGTTTAACCAGGAACAGAAAGGTTCAAGTTTCCGTCGGCGTAGAAACAAAATCCGTCAAAACCCAAACATACTTGGATACAAATAGTGAATTATGGTCAAAAGTAGCGTTTATCCAACATGTGGATGAAACTTCCAACAACGAGACAAAAGAACCCATGTATAAAACTCCCCCTGAACCCGAGATAGCTGACAATATTACTGAAGCTGATATCAAGACCTATGTAATGGAGAAGCATACACCTGTAATCTCAGATTGCCCGCGTAAAGATTCAAACAAGTGTGATAAATTGAACATTTACAATGACGTCCGTCGATATAACAGCGCTGTTAACACAGAAGATGAAAATTCGGAAGACGATTACAAACCATGTGATGATGAAGATGTAGAAAATAATGCGCTAAAGGGAGTAAAGGCTGCAAGAATTTTATCAAAAACAAAGAGTCCCGAAAAACAATTGAAATTTATCGTGTTCAAAGAAGCACTGGTGGAAGCGTTTCAATCTTGTGCTATTTGTGGTGCAAATTGTGTCGTTACGACAAACGGAATATATGATGGGACGTATTGCAAATTTGACATTTTATGCGCAAATTACGCTAATCATAGATTCTCATGGTCGACTGGACCTCTACATTATCATATGCCGATTCTAAATTTACTGATGTCTTCTGCCACTATGTGTGGAGGCATGCACCCAAATAAGGTCATTTGATTTTTCCAATCACTCAACATTCCTTTCATGAAACAGCGAGAATATTCAAATTTGCTGGGTGCTTATGTCATCCCCGCAGTATACAATGTTTGGGAAGCGCATCAAAAGGAAATAGTTGGGAAGCTTTCTGGTAAGACAGCCACTATAGCTTCAGATATGTGCGTTGACAGCCCATGCCACTATGGGCTGTTAGGAGCTGGAAGTTCCCTAGATGTTGAAAGAAACCTGGTCCTCGACACACAAATAATTCAGGTAAAATTATTTTGTTCTCTCTAATGCAGCAGCATCTCAACACCTATGCAAATTGCGTAATTTTAAATAATATTTTTAATTGTTTTAAAATAGAGCACCGAAGTTGATAACTCAAACACGATGGCGCTGGAAGCACTAAGACGGCAGATTGCTTTCCTTGAAAAGAAAGATGTCAAAATTGGTAAATTAGTGACAGATCGACATAATCAAGTTACTTCTTATTTACAGTCGGAAAAGCCTGGAATCACGCATTGTTACGACGTTTGGCACATTGCTAAAGGTGAACTCCCTATCACTGTCATGACTACAAATATTTGTAAATGACCCTATATTACTGCAAAAAATTACAACTATTAAGTAAATTTTAAACAGGAGAAAAAAAGAAGCTACTGAAAATTTGTAAGACCAAAAAGTATAAGTCAATCAAGGAATGGATTGGGGTATGTACATTTATGAAAAATTAAATGAATAACAGTGAACCAGGGTGTGCTATATTATATAAAATACTAATCTGTTTTCATTAAAATATAGTTTCTATTGATTTATAGTCAATTATAAACCACTTGTATTGGGTGGCAAATTCAAGTGCATCTCCCTTGGAAAGAGAGGAAAAATGGGTTAGCATCACCAACCATATTGCTGATGTCCACGTACATCAAGGATATAAAGTTTTTTTGAAATGCTGTCATGAAGGCATTGAAAGAAGATGGTTGGAAAAGGGTAATAAGTAATACAGTATAAGTTAAACATAATATGTCTTATTTATGTCTTATTTTCTTAATGACACTTAACAATTATTTAATGAGGTCGAGTAGGATATGAGGAAATCTTAAGGCCAAAGTTTATTATCTGCCTAAGCCAAAGGCTGAGGCAGATAACATAAATGGAGGCCTTAATAATTCCTCATATCCTGTGAGAGCCGAATTCAATAATTGTTTTTATATTATTTATTGTTTTGTTATTTGTTCTATTGTTTATTATTCATATATTCCTGATCTTGACATAAGTCACATAAATTAGGATCACATCATAGGGTGCTACATCGTTTTTCAATATACCATGAAGTCACATTAAACGTGATATAATTGTTTCTATATTTCACGGTGGTGTCATAATTCCAAATTTCCGGGCAGCTATCAAGTGTATATGATGATTTAGCCTACAGCTTTTAGCCAATCAAAACTCTTGAATTCGTTCCAATAAATAATAAAAGTTATCTCATCTGGACACACTTCATTTCAATATAAATGCATTTTATCTGATGTAATAAACTACTTTTTATCCACATATATTTTAAGGATCAGCTGCACATAAGAAACTAATTGAAGTTGTTACTAGACCTCGTCTTATTAAAGCAATCAAGATGATGTCACAGTATTACCAAACATCAGGTCTCGAAGCAAAGTTAAGCATTCTTTGGACAATGAATTTTTGCCAAAGAGTACATATTATCCATATCATTCTTAAGTGCAAGGTATGTATTTAAATGTATTTATTGCTCTGGATATGTAAGTTATGAAGTCATTTTGTCTCACTAAGACTGTATATATTATATCATACATAGGCTTATTTGCTTTCAAACTTTCAGGATTTTTTGCTCGAACCTGCACTACAATGAAATTGCCAACCGATCCCAATCAAACACTGCAGATGGTACTTTGAAATGGTCTGTTGTATTTCCAAAAGCAAATAAGAGAGAAAATTAAAGTAATTGCAAGGCTATTAAAGTCCAAACCTACTTATGGTATTATTACATATTCTATTGCACAAATGATATCTTGATATCAGAGAAATATTTGTCAGATATCAAATGAATACTTGGGATTTTCGTCAGTCAAATTGATTTTAATTTTTAGATTATTTAGCAAAAAAACAACAAGAGGTTATACAGCTGAGATGCAAATTTCCATTATTAAAGAAGGCCAATGACCATGCTCATGCAGTCCTACCAGCAAAACCAAGCACAATGGTTGCTAATTACTTGGATGGGAAACCAAGACCAAGCAAGGCAGATGTTATTGCTAAACGCCATAGCAGGTACTCCAAACCAGCAATTCCAGTTGATGGAGTCTGTTGTACTTGTACAGGAAAATGTGCAACAAAAAGATGCGTTTGCAAGGGAAGTGGCAATTTGTGCTCTTGCAACTGTTCTTGCAATGAAAACAAATGTCTGAATAAGTAATTGAGTTAATATAAATAACTTCGTCTATAAAAATAGGATTTTTCTGTGCGAAAATACTTTGAGTTGATTATAAAAGTAGTATGCAGTAACCAACAACAACAAAAATAAAAACAAAGCTGAAACCTGTACTTGTTTATAGTCTTGGGATATTTAAAACCAGTATATAGGCCATCGGGCGATGAAAACTTTTCCCGAATAGCTGTATAAATGCACGCAGAAAATGGTCGGCGATTCTTCTTCCCAAGATACTCAAAAATCCATCTTGAACATCTATAATACGAAACTAACCGGAAAATTTTGTGAGTTTTGGCCATTTCATCATCACGAGGCGGCCAGTTTTCCTCCACATATCTACAAGCGTCGATTTTCAGAACGCTTTCGGTTAACATATTCTGTTGAAAATCGGGCAACTGTGTTAGACACGCGTCTCCCGAACTTTCGGCTTGAGAGAGTTTCTCATCGTACTCATCGTACTCCACCGCCCTTTCCTTGCAACAAAAATTTTCTAGAGTTTCCGGCATAATTTTGCAATGACCACATTTACACCAACTTAGTGTGGATTTCCACCAGCTGTTTGCCAGCTCAAATACTTCATCAATACTCTCGTCTGAGCTAGACGAATCTTCTTCAGAATCAGATGAGTGGGATATTAATTCCATTTCTGGCTCAAATTGGTAAGGTAAAATTTCTTTCACTTGATTTTCATGAACTACTTCCATAATTCCTTATACTCGTCGCTCAATACCAAGACAAAAAACACAAACATCGAACTTTATATTAAAGCTTGTTAACCCGCACGTGACGTCACTTCCTTTCACGCTTAATATTTCGAAATTCGGAAACAAGATGGCGGATTTTCACAGTCTGTACGATAGTTTTATCTTATCGGTAAGTGTTCTAAAACGCTTTCAATGACCACAAAATTTTTGTATGATGTTTATATATCAGCAATTTATCAATTAGGATGATTTTTAGTAAATAGTTATTTTTGTTGCCCATACCCTATAAAGAAATGCCATTTCGTGAATCGTGATTAATATGCGTGCCGTGAATCGTGAATATATAGCTAGTTAGGGTCTTGAATTTACCAATATTCTACCCTAACTTGTGAATGTTTACGTTTAAAACTCGGCCCAAATTTAATATTAAGGTTCAAAAAATGACTAAAAAGGCTTCCCGCGGTTGTCTTTCTTGAAATTTCTTTGTTTCATCGTACGAAGGTATACGACAACGACGTTTACCTCTTCGTAGACTTTGTGAACTATCGTAAGACGCTCGTAATGTTTCGTAGTGCCTCGCAATGATTTCCATAGTCTTTTAAAAGTTCTAACGTTAACGTTAGTAAAATGTGTTTGTGTTAACATCGAGTTCTGCTGTCTAGAAAATCTCTAAATGGTTTCAGACTTTGTTACGCTTCAGTGTTTCTAAAAATCGTGAAAATGAAATTTTGTTTTTCGTGACTCGTGAAATCTAAAAATGACCTTCGTGATTTCTTAAAGAGACCCCCCCTTGCCCCGCCCCTCTTATTAAATGTACTTTTGCCCACCAAAAGCATAGTACACAAAACTGTATATATACACAACATAATGTTATGCAAGTCAGTGAGATTTAAGCATGTGGAATATTGATCCTCGACTGTAGTTTTCGAAGTAACGTGGCTTTAATTTGACGTCCTTTAATTGAACGCAAGTTTTGCTCCATGTTGTTTTGCTCGACTTCATAGTAAAATCAAAAGAAAGGCAATTTGGCGAAGAATTATATTCATGATCAAGCAAAGTAAAATATCAGCTAAACACTTTACTTTATGACTCACATATGCCTGCGGTATGCCTGCGCTAACATAGTTCACAGCTGTTGACGCTCTCTCCTCCGCAGAGCCTCCTTAAGTATTTAAAAATAACATACATGAAGTTTTTCGCTCTTTCCATTACCCCTTGCGTGCCATCAGTTTTGCGCGCTCACTTTTCCCTCACTAGAAACTTCATGTAAGCCTTTGCGGAGGAGAGAGGCTCTTGATGAACTGCTATAACGACAACAGCTCGCCGACCGTTACCGGCATTTGGTTAATTTTCATATATATCTTTACTCTAACTTCATCTAATACCGAACACAAATTAAATTACAAAAATATGAAATATGTTGTCAAAAGCACATGTTTTTCACGCGCGGAGCACACGAAGCGCCGACGATTACGTCATTCAGAAGGTACTGGGCTTTTACGTTTAAGGTGGCTCCATACACCTTTCATCATCGGGAAACTGGTACCTAATCTTGACTTTTTGCGCGAAAATGTTAAATATATGCAAAAATAAATACAACTTTTTCAGTCTAAAATCCTAACCACAAGTCATATTTATTTTGATGTTTTGAGTCTACCTTGTTCTCATTTTTTTCTCAAAGAACAAACTTCGTTCTGATTATAGCTCTGAACACTGACACCTGCATTAGCTCTGAACACTGATAATACCTGCATTAGCTCTGAACACTGAATAACTAATTTTTCTAGAAGACATTTGAAGGTAAAAAAGCAATGTTTAACGTTCAATTAACTCTTGTGAAACCTAGCGATTGTCACGTGCGAGGAATTTACTAGTGTTTACTTATAGCTTCGCGCCTTTACTGCTTCGCGCCTTGGGGCCTTGTCAAAACAAAGATGGCCGATTCGAGGTTCGTGTTGGTTGGTGGTCGACAGTTTTATCGAAGGAATCAGAAACAAGAATGATAATGTTTCATTTTATATTTGTTATATTTATCTTTGTTCAATATAATAATTCGAACTGACTAAATATAAGAATGAAATAACTATGTAAGTATAAGGGTCTTAATTAAAAAGCCTATTACTAGTATTAGGTTTCTAGAAGGCCCCTAGCCTATCCAAAAAAATAAAAACAAATGTAAATAACTTTTAGGAGCGTAATAAAAAAGTTGTGTTGCCTGCTTTGCATGAATGCAGTATGTAACATTCTTCAAGCTAATTCAACATTTAAAAATGTTGTGTATTACAAGTTTGCTTTTCTCATTTAACCTGAAACACAGGTGTGGCAGAGCCTTGTTTTAAATTTTTTAACTAAAAAATTAAAACTTGCTGGCCGATCAACAAATAACACCCTCTTCCGCAGCCTAGACCTAGGGTTATGTACTATTTAAAACACGAGTAGGAGTGTTTTATCAGATATAAAACACGAGGCGCAGCCTAGCGTTTGATGTCTGATAAAACACGACAACTAGTGTTTTCAATAACATACAATGCGACTACAAAAGAATGCTAATTAGGATGAACCATTATTATAATCATACTAATTAGGATGAACAATTATATAATGCCACATGCTTTATCATATATAAAGTCACTCCACGTGACATATTATGGCTGACATGATTTGCCACAAGGTTTATGAATTATTAATGAGTGTTTTAAAGGATCTCAACTCGACTTGCTAATTAATATAGTATAAGTTCTTTATCATGCCTGTGTCTTACAACAATTTTGTTACAGACGTTTCATTTCATTTCACACAGTTTCATCGTGTGCATACAATTTTAAATCTTTATATAATCTCACGATTTCTCTGAAATTCGGCCTCTCTGAAATTTATCTTGTAACCACGGTTGGGTTGATCAAACTTAGTATAAACATCTGCAGCACCTCTGCATATTTATTTCTTCCCATTGTTTTTAGTACCCAAGATTGACTACGTTATTAACCGTGCAAGCTTGCTTGAACCTATATATCTCATGCTTATATAGCTGTAGTCGCTGTGTGCTTTCCACAGCTTAAAGGTTTTTTCTTTTCAGTCTGCTATGAACAGTTTTCGTTCTCGAACAGGCCTAATTTGTGGACAATCCATTGTTTGTAATAGAATTAACTGAATAACATTATAATTTTTATATAGCCTATTCTGAATTTGTCGTATGATATTAACTTAAGATATGTTTTTTTTCTTCTTATTGTTAGATGTTACAAGACCCACGCATGGTATCCCGATTGTCCGAAGGGTGCTAAATACATTGTTATTTACCGTGAACCACGTGCTGCTTTCAACAGCTTCTTTAAATTCTTTGAGGGTTGGTGGTTCCAACCTGGAGAAGTTTCACTTCATGAATTTGTAAAAGACTTTTTGCTCGCTCGTGGAGTACCACAAAACAAGATGGAAAATGCATCCTATTTCGTCCACTTGGTTAGCTGGTGGGAACACAGGAATGATTCGAATGTTTTGTTTGTGTTCTTTGAGGATATGAAAGATGATTTGGAAAGTGTAGTTAGGAAGACTGCAGCATTCATAGGAATTCAGAATGAAGAAAAGATTGAGAAGGCTGTGGAAATGAGCTCGTTTGAATTTATGAAGGAAAACCAGAAGAAGTTTTCAGACACACGCATCGCACGTTATCGGAATGTAGCTTGCGGGGTAGCCCATGATGTTGTGCCCAGTAAGGTTGTCACAGGATCTGCAACAAAAGGACGAGAGTTGATGGACGATAAAACTAAAGAAGTAATTCAGGGAAAGTGGCTGGAAGTTGTTGCTAAACAAACCGGGTATCAAGATTATAATGAGTTAAGAAGTGCATTCAAAAAGGAAAAGATAAATAATAATTAAGAAATATTTAAAATTGTGGGTGATGACGCAGGGGTACGTAAGGTGACATATCACGTAAATTTTGTAGGTGCTATTATCTTAGTGATAGGACTTGGCATTATTAATAACTTTGTACTTGTTGGTGTTGGGTGTAAAAACTATCCTAGAAACTTACAAGTTTGTGACTTTGTAAAAGTGTGGACTCCTACAACGTGTTTCCCACAAGCACACAGTTTGGCAATAATAAATGAGAATTGTATACAGTGCTATAGCTAGCAGTTTTATATTTAAATCCTTTATTCGCATGCTGACATTCTAAAAATATGCCCTTTG